GGATACAAATCATTGCTCAGATAATAATGTCTCATGCTTCTCGACACCCATTGGAAATAAACTTTACAGTCAGACAGCATTAGCGAGTAAGGATCAACATAGCATCTACGGCAACACCATCACACGAAGGTCGTACCATCAACATATGCTGCTGCAGGAGTTTGCATAATTGATCTCAGCGAAGCAAAACAAACATAACACCTTATTAACATGTCTAGTGCCAGGATCAACGCAGCCTGACGGAGCTTTAGGGTAAGGGGACCTTCGTATCTACTTCCCCAGGCAGCTTGATGGAGCCTTTTAGTGACGGAGGCCTAGAGAGGCAAGTGGGTGACAGGAGAAATGAGACACTTGATGGAAGAGTGGTTGTGAACAGACTACTTTCTACGATGAATAAAGAAATTCAGCAGGATAAAACGAAGTAGAATAATAAAATATGCCATATTATCTCTGAAGTATGTATTATTAGCACTCAATAATCCGATAATACTGGTCGCAGACTCGAAAATAAGCAGCTTAATGTTTGAGTGTCTCAATTTCAATGTCACCCACTTGAGGGCAAGATACGGAGAGGAGCCCATCAGTAGGGCCGCAGATCCTGCCTACGCAGGCAATGACAAGGAGGCTCTCCGGTGGCCTCATCCCCTGGTAGATCGGTACTTCTAAGTAGAGGATCTGTTATCAATAAATCGTTGATTACTTATGGAGGTGGAGGCGCCGTTGGCTTTGCCCTCTTCCCCAATTTCAAATTTCACCCTCTAATCCCCAGAACGCAGCGTTTGGTCCGCCACCGCCTCACCGAAGCGGAAGCCTCAAGGTTCCGCCGTGCATTCGACTTCAGCACCGCCAGGTAAAATATACCCAGCTGTATCCGGTAGCACTGGAATGGACGAGCATGTCATCCATGGCTAGCGGCGACCAGGACGAAGGCACCTCCGCCTCGGCCGACAGCGCCGTCGTGTCCCCCGCCCACGATGATTGGCATGGCGCTGGCCAACGCCAGGCTCAGGCGTGGGAGCAGCCCCAGGCGAGACAATCCGACCAAGGCGGCCGAGGAGAGGCGCTAGCAGACGCACCCGGAGCATCTTCTGCTCCCAATGTACCCGACAGCCCAGCGGAACCAGTCACAGCAGGCCAATTCGCGCCGCCAGCCCAGCCGAAATCTGACCCCAGACTTACCGCAACAGCACCACTTCCAGGGCGACAATCACAAGCACAAGCACAGGCTGCATATACCGGCCTGGGCGGTCACGAGCGTCATCTCCCGTTACACCACCAACACTATCACCAGCAGCCATCCGCAATCCCTCACATCGTTGCTCCGTCATCGTACCTGCGCCTCAGGCCACTGACTCGCAGCGCAATGGCGACAACTGCCTCGCAGCCGGCGCCTCCCCCGCCACCACCCCAGCAGGTTGTCGCTGACAAGGATGAGGCACAAGGTCTGGTGCGTGATCACAGATTCCGTCCTGCTTGCAGTTTAATCCGTTGCTTGTTTATGACTTGACTATCTTTTGCCCATTGCGCCTTGTTTTATCTCGTACCACTTTTTCCCCCCCTTCGGTAGTGCTCCTGTTGCTGACCTGTTGCTCGGGATGTACAGAAGAATATTCGGGACTTCCTCAAGGTTCGAACCGGCTACGATGTTTTCCCTTTATCCTTCCGACTCATTGTCCTCGACACCGATCTACTTATTAACAAGAGTCTTAACATTATGATACAAAATTGTGGGTGATGCTTCTGGTTTGGGACGAATCAGGCCCTGCACCAGCTCGGAGGCGGGGTTGATCTGGTGGGCTGGATATGCTTGGAAGATGTCCTCATGCTAATTAATCCTTTTCTTTCGCCACAGCAATTGTGTCTGCACCGCTATGGGACTCTCACACCTCCCGCTTCGCTGGCCTCTTGACGGCCACCGATTACATGAATGTGATTCAGTATTATTGCCAGTTTCCAGAGGAGATGAGCAAGCTGGATCAATTCCGATTGAGTAGCCTACGAGGTAAGCATCGCCGTTTGAGCCTTGCCTGGAATATTTCGCTTACCAGCTGAGGGGTATAGACATAGAGAAAGCCATTGGCGCCGTCCCCATTGAAACCGTCTCGGTCAACCCTCTCCTCCCCCTCTACGAAGCATGCAAAGGCATGCTTAAGACACGTGCTCGACGAATCCCGCTTGTTGATAAGGACGACGAGACAGGCAAGGAATGGGTCGTCTCTGTTATCACCCAATACCGAATTCTCAAGTTTATCGCCGTCAACAACGAGCATAATACAGTTCTTCTCAAACGAACGGTCCGAGAGTTGAATCTCGGAACATACACCAATGTTGCGACAGCCCAGATGACCAGCCCTGTGCTCGATGTTATCCAAATGATGGTTCATCGCAATATCAGCTGTGTCCCTATCATCGACAAGGATAACAGGCTACTCAACGTTTTTGAAGCAGTGGATATCATCCCTTGCATCAAGGGTGGCGTATACGAGGAGTTGGCGGGGTCGGTGGGGGATGCTCTGCTTAGACGCCCGGAAGACAGCCCAGGCATATACACTTGCTCAGAGCATGACCGCCTTGGTGCAATCTTTGACACCGTTCGGAAGAGCCGCGTGCACCGACTTGTCGTTGTTGACGACGAGAACAAACTGAAGGGCATCGTTTCCCTATCCGATATCTTGGCTTATGTTCTACTCTCCCCGGTGGATTGAATGATGAACGAAGCGGCCGGGGACGATAGATTGCTGGGATTGGTTTCTTTTTGGATGATGGATGACTCGGCTCATGATGAATGAAATGACGAGTGATGACCACGGAGATCTACAGACCAACGAAGATATGGGCGCAGGCCTACAAACTCTTTGGTTTCGTATGCTATGCATCTTTCCATCTTTTCAACGGCGCAATGGAGAATCTAGGGACGATACGGGTGGGTGATTAGCAAGAGCGAAGAAGGCCCTTTGGATCATTGCTCACCCTTTCCCCTTTTACACATAATAGACCTGGAAGCGTGGGCTGGCAAAATCTGAATTTACCAATTTGCGCAATGGAAGCAGGATATATGGCCTTGTGGTTCAGGAAGCGGTGTCACAAGATCTCAAAGAGCACTAGAACACTGCCGAGAATACCACCGGCCGAGCATGATGGAAGACGAGGGTTCGTCAATGGGTGGCTGTACTGGAGGCACCTGTTTAGATAAGAAGGACCTGGTACTGCCCATGTTGATTTGCTATGGTTTCCTACTGTGAGTTCGTGTCCTGCCTCTCTTGCAACGGGCCGCTACATTACGAGATAAGTAGGTACTGGGATCTCAATGTCAGCTTCACTTAGATATTATCCGTTGCCATTGGATGGCGTGGCATAACTTATCCTATTATGCATTAAGATGCCGCTGTACAACGTAGCAGAGCACTGTAGAGGCCTAAGTAAGACACACTGGCGCAACACGTATCTGCCGGCTCCCGTCGACGAGTGCCGAGCGGCGGGCCTTGACTTTGTCCTACTGGTGATATTTATGCGCAGAGCGAGCAATTTCGCACGCACTCTGAGAGGAACAACTCATTTTATTTCTTTTCACAGGGAAAAGGCACGTGCGCACGCTTGAGTCCAAGAGCTGAGCTTGCTGGCATGTTGAGCGACTGTGTGTACGTTGATGCCCTGCCTAAGGTGTGTTGATATCCACAACAGCTACCTGCAGTCGTCAAAACTTGCTGTTATCCTGGACTCAGCGGAGCATTATGCCACTTGGCTTGCATGCAAGTGTTATTTCCATGAGAAATTCTACTTGCTGAGCACTAGATACCACTACTAGTCGCAGCCCATAACGCATTGCGGGCTGGGTTTGGCTGGAAATGCTCGTGGTTTGGCAGGCATAGCTTTGTGTTGGCACGTTGACGTATGTCCTTGTCCAACTGTCTCTTGCCAAACCAGAGAGACGGCTTTCCTGCTGGCGCGCCTCGAATTCTAGGTGCCCTGCCCTCAGCTTCGGCTTGATCTTTCCTTTATTGTGAGCGCCTCCCCCCCGAGATCTCGATAGAACCTGCCGATGCCGATTATTCCCTGGCCAGCACTGAGCACTTTCTGCATATCGGTTTTTGTGCCAGGCCCAACTTTCCAGATCTGGTTCTGGTTTCCAATGACTGACCCCTCGGGCTGTTATGTGAGCGAGATGCTTCTTGCTATGCCGACCTCTGTTGCGTCTGGAATACGTGAACCTCGCGTTCCTCCGTCCGGCTTCATATGACCTAAATGTGCATTGCTAACAGACACATTTTTTTTTCCGCGATTCCAGCGAGCAGAATTACTCTTTTTCAATCGTTGACATTTAGCTACCGGACAGCGATCTTTTGTCGAGGCTGGCTACAGACGATATGGCTGCACCCGTGTCCACTCACCCAATCCCCAACTCATGCTCAACCACCGAGATTCATGTCCCCCTTCGAAGGGTCCCTCGAGCTTCAAGAAGCACTACGTCGCTCGCTTTCCCACAGAGTGTAACAGTTCATCACCTCGGGGGCCAGCGAGATGGACCCATGCGACGCACGAGCAGAACATGGACCACGAGCAGTGGCGATTTGGGCCTTATGAGCGACACCGACGAATTCGACGACAGAGCATTGGTTGTCCAGGAGTACAATAGATTGGCAAAGAAGGTACCGGGGACCCGTGTTCAGATTCTCCGAGCCTCCTTGATTGACATTTCTACAGCATGGTGTGAGAATACTCGTCCTCGATGACTTCAAGATTGCCACCCAAGTCTGTTTTGCCCGATATTCTTTGTGTTACGCCTTAACACTAACAAAAAATAGAAGAAGATTGAACCCGCTGTACCAGAGAAACGGGGATGGCTTCACCGAATGCTGCGATCAACGTCGAATGGGAGCCAGGGACAGAGAGCAGCCAGGCCCAGAACGCCTTCCTTGCAGCACAGGCGAAGCGTTTCGGAGTTCGCAAATCACCTGGCGCCTTGTAGAAACAATCCTACAAGAACCTTAACCCTCCAAGCCATGGTTAGACTCAGTGGGAAAAGCGTCCTCTACCTTCCCCAGGACTACACCCCAGGGTCGCTGGTCCTGCCCACGTGTCTTCGGGCAACTGCTCAGCATCTCTCACAACACGTAACCACAAGGGGGATTTTCCGAATTTCTGGATCGGTCAGAGTAGTAAATACTCTTTTCGACTACTACTGCTACTCAAATAATGGGGGATTAGATGTCTCCAGCACCGTTCGTTGCGCTAACTTGCCATCGCACATCGATTTCTCCATCCACGATGTTGCTTCCACCTTCAAGCGCATGATATCGACACTCCCTGGTGGTATCCTTGGAACCTTGTCCATTTTCGATGCGCTCGTAGCGATCCATGCACAGCTGCGTGGCGATCCAGAATTCCCACGAACAAAGCAAACCAAAGTTCGTGCCAGGCTCATTGCACTAGCTATTGGGGCCATCGAGTCTCAGTTTCGGCGAGAGCTCATCTGCGCCGTCTTTGGGCTCCTGAGTTTGATCGGAAGGGTGGCAGAAGTAACCCCAAGAGAGGATGAGGGTGGAAGGCCACTGCCGACGGGTGATTTGATGGGATATAGTGCCCTCGGTATTGTATTTGGGCCATTGTTGGTGGGAGAACTGTTGGATCAGTACGATATGAACTTTGCGACACCGACGAACGGTTTGCTCCTCTTACCGCCAGGGGCGAAAAAGATTCGACAAGGCCGACGAAAACCCGCTGTGATGGAAAAAAATCTAGTGGGAGCTCAAACAATTAACAAGGTGAATATCGTCAATAGTATCACCGAGATGCTCATTGCGAACTGGCGTGACGTGGTACGTCAAATGAAGGCTCTTGGAATACATCACAGGAAGGACGTGTCGAATGCTACACTGCGCAGTGGCTCGCTTCGCCCATCAGTCTCGGAGTCATACACAGCGCGGAAACCCCCTCGTGGACGAGAGCCTACCCAAAGGGAGTCCGGTGTTCAAGCAGATCGAGACAGAAGTCCAGTTTTTGAGGCTCCCATGGTGAACTCAAAAATCCGACAGCCGCAACCCAGAGGGAGTTTTGGTTCTGCTAAATTAAAATTGAAGCCAAGCGCCGGTGTCCTAAGCCCAGCCATGGAGGAAGGAAGCATAGAAGGGGAGAGACGGGGAAAGGTGGCCTCGGAGAATTGGTTTCGGGAGCCCGCGTTTTCTGTTCAAAATGACAAGAAACATGCTAGATCCGAACCAGTAAATAACTTTGGGCTTCATAACCAAAACCAATCCACACAGCAGAACAGCCAAGCTACACCGAGGAGAAGTCGTGGTGGGGAGTCTTCAAGCACCCACACGAGACCAGGAGCCCGAGAGATAAGGAGTAGTATCCAAGAAACTCCGGTTCGTCATAGCCCTGAGCTTTCCACAGAGGATGTTCCCCCGAGGACATCATCGAAGCAGGGGTCTATCGGTTTCCCTTCCCTCCAGCAAACAGTTCCAGCTGAAGAACACGAACCTTTCGACAACACAGGCGACCGAGCGAGACAGAGCTTGGCTCTAATAAAAATGGAGCGCTTGCGTGGGCAATCCCATACACCCCCTTCAACGTCTAGACATATCGATGCGAGGTCTGAGGAAAGGAGGAAATTGCCAACCACAAGCGTTGATCGTGTCTCTCAAACTTCCAATAGGGAGCTACCATCAACCCTGCAAGTGGTGGAACCGCCAGTCTTAATCCCGGATCACCAATTAGAGGCTCTGGAATCAGACCTGTTTCATGATCTATCTCAACTTAGGAGGGGATCAGTTGTGAGCCCCAGGAGTGAACATGTGAACATGGACCGGCCCAAGAATGAGATGCGAATGTTAAGCGAAGAGCATGAAGAACAGCCTCTAAATGGACACGAGATACTTTATTTGTCACCCAATGGAGATGTAGAAAAGCATATCTCAACGTCATACAGAGACGAAGACATAATCTCGACGGAACCTGCTGAGACTAGAACACCAAACTTTTATGCTCCCATGAGAGTCCCTGGAAACCCCCCAGGGTTGAGTTCAGCATCTCGTCCACTTTTATTTGAGGGCTAGAGATCCTCGGTGGATGATTTGACTACTGAAACTTCTAAAAGAACAAAGATCCCAGGCGCCTTTGCTGCGAACGATGCTCCACGCCAAGGAAAGCTATCTTCGCCAAACATCAGACCTATCAACGGCCTTACATCGCAACGACTGGATATATTTGAGCCGAAGGATATTGTTTCAAGAAACGGGCTGCCGAGGAATCGAAAGATTGGAGATATAAGCCAGATGAAAAGCAAAGCCAACTCATCCCCTCGAAGCAGTGCTACTAAGCAAGCTGGAGTGAGGGCGATGGCGGCGATGTTTGAAAACCACGATCCGCCTTCGAAATCAAGCTCAATTTTGGCAAAGGCATCGACCGAGACTTTTGGCTCAACGCATAAGGCGCAGCCATCTAAGATCCCCCAAAAATCATCAAACGCAATCAAGTTTGGCTCAGTATTGGGGTCAAGCACTCCTCCTAACCCAACGCCAGCTATGGGGCCTCCCAAAACGCCGAATACAAATATTAAAAAAACAGATGGTCCAGGAATCCCAAAGCTAAGGACCTCTGTGAGTGATAGTGTAGCGTTGCGAGCCGCCGCGATTATGCAAGCTGAGAAACAGCATCAAGGGCCAAATTCTGAACGGCCACCTTTGGCTGGCCTCAGACATATTGATGCTGCTAGTAAGATGGAACCCAACATTGGGAAAGACTTTCAAAGCCAAATGAATATCTCCGCAAGTCTTGGGACAATGGTTTCTCCCCAAGAGCAACCGCCTGTGGCGCAATATCTCCATTTATCTCGCCCACCGTCAGCCATGTCAACGTCTGGGTCTATTCAAACAGAGTCCCTTAGTGTTCCTATCAGCTCGACACCAATTCAACGTGCTGGAAGTACTAGCTTGCTCCATTCCCAAATACGCAGTCTTCAGCGGCAGCTTCAAGCCAAGGTTGAGGAATGTTCTCAGCTTCGCCGACAACTTGAGGCACAAGAAAATTTTGATGTAGGTACGCTAAGTGAGCAATTGCGAGAAGCCAAGCGAGAGCTTCATATGTGGAAAGAGAGAGCAGAGGCTGCAGAGAGGAGGGTCAAGGTGTTTGAAAAGTTCACATCGAAGCTGAAGGGAATCAGACAAGCTGCTGTCGCTGCTGATGAGAAAACCCACCAGGGTGAGCAGCTTGATGAAGATGTCTTCAGCGATCGAGAGGGTCCGAGTGGTAATGGGAAGGTCACTAATCGGGATAATCATGTTCGATTCCTCGAGGTTTACCATGTGAAGGATAGAGGGGGAAGCGATGATTCGGGGAAGACAGAAGACGCCGGTGTTGTGACGGCGAGGATACGCAGGTGCTTACACGGAGGGCAGGAATCTCTACATACCCACGATGGGACCGTGGATCAAGTACATAGCACTTTTGACGGACCAGGCACTGATAAAGCAGTTTCGCCAACGAGAACCTGGTTAGCAAAACAGGACATGAGGCTGGAGGCTCTGGATATTTGGATGGCGGCACAGGAATTACTGGAGTTGGAGGACGCGTTGGAGTGATGCACACCACTTGGGATAGATATTATCAGGACTGCACAGGTGAATATGGAGGCAAGAGTCGCTTTTAGGCACCATTCCTCTATTTATTCTTACGATGAACCTTACACTTGTCTGTATACTATGCGAATGCTTAATCATTGAACCAGGACCGGTCTGATACTTCCTATACTCTTGAACTGAAAAGCCTTTGAAAATTAAACGGAAGACCTAAATGCAGATGCGCCATAGCTTTTAACTCTTAGTCGAGAGTGTCGCCTGTGCGCCTGATCCGCCACCGTCCTGAATTATCCCGTCCCATCGTGATGTGCATTTTCCCTACACCATCAAGAATCGAGTTGAGGGCTGCGTCATCTTCGTCATCGTCAATGAAGTTTTCGGCATCATTCTTCGACGTTGGCAGCCTGGGATATTGGCGTGCGGGCGGGTTTAGTCGAGAAGAAGCTGAATGTGCGTGATCAAAACTGTCGTGGAAGAGTTGCCCGCCCCTTTGTGGGAGCGGGCCTTGAGCCTGCTGCTGGCTCTGCTCTGGCGGGGTGGGAGAGAGGATGAAATCGGAGTCTGGGGGGGAGGGGAGCTGCGTCGAGCTCTCGGTTGCGGAGATGGAGTGGGTGATCCGGGGATAGTAGTGATGGGTGCGAGGCTGGGCGGATGGTATGGAGTAGTAGTAGTCCTCGTAGGAGTTGGCCGGAGGAGGTGATGATGCGGTGTCGTTTGAGGAGTCGTACGCCAGTAGAACGGGGGCTTGCTGCTGCGGGAAGGGAGGGTAGGTGGAGGTGGACAGCCCGGAGGAGTCCTGCGAGCTTGGTTCGTTCAAGGATGGTGGTTCGGAGTCGGAGGCCGGGGAGGACCTGCCGGCCGGGCCGTCGTCATCCTTCGTTCTGGGCCAGACCATGGCAACCCGGGGGCTGTAGTGGAGGTTGTGTGTGGCGGAGGGGCGACAGCCATGGTCCGGGGGGTCAAGTCAGGATTCACTGACGAAGAGCTGCTTGTGCTTGTGAGTGGCCTCAACCACAGCGGCATAAACCCCGAGATCTGGGGAGTTTGAAGTTAGCCAAAGTAAAGGGGAAAGCAAGGCGCGGTTGAGTTGGATGAGACTCACCGACGTCTGGTCCTAGATCTTGAGCTTGGTACGACTTGATGGTCAAGTCTGAGTTGACCTTGCCTAGAACCTGGACGCAGCTTCCACCGACGACCTCGGAGAGCTGAATTTGATCGTTAGTAGATGTATCTTTTTTTTTGAAGATGAGTGAGAGTCTTGGATTACCTGGTCAAGAAGGACCGTGACTGTGCCATCGGAATCGACAGTAGCCTGCTTTCCTTGCACCTGGAGCACCTTGCCGACCAGCATGACATGGCGGCCAACGAAGCTGTCCAGGTATCGCGCAGAAATGCGGGGGTGGACGATTTGCTCACTCATGGTGTGCGATTGTTTTGAGAAAGGATTGTCAAGAGCCAATTCTCACTGAGAGCAACAGCAATGCTTTTCTTTCCTATGCAGTGATTGTAACTTGTCTGTCGATGTGACGTGACGAGATGCAAAAACCGCTGTACTAAGCCGTTGATTGCCCTTGGACGCGAAACGCGTGAGAGGGGCAATCGCAGACACACGCGCGAGATCACGTGAGGTAATGACATATCACGTGAATTTCACAATATCGCTTCACCATCTGCCCAGCCAGGGGAAGTCGAAAAAAAACTTGATTCAGGAGGCGAGATGTGATACTAATTATGGATCATGCGTAATAAAATTTTGGATTTCTCAATTGCGGGTTTGCTCATGATCGCGATCCAGAAGTGCGATTTCAAGGATGATGGGAATGATGGGATTCGGTGAATGGAGTCGCCCCCCCGGCATAATGGACCTGAATACTTGCAAGGTTGGACATGCATTTATCGTCTTATCCTTCCGTCACCAGAGAAGGAAAAAAAAGGAGAATGAGATCATATCTGACATGAACATGGAATTGTTCTGGGCTCATCGACTATCAGAAACAGGGGTCAAAGCCGTTGTTGATCAGTCGTGGCATCCAGAGCAAATCCATCAAATCGGAAGCTCTCCTTGGATTTGGATATCGTCATGGCCGTTGAATGGGGCCGTATGATAGGTACATAATATCTAATTGAAAAATCCGGTTCGCCAGTTTATGACGTCCATAGACCCCCGTAGAGGGGCAGATCCCCGTTGAGGTTTTTTGGCGTGCCCCTAATGATCCCCTTGGACCTGGCACGACATGCTCGAATCTCGATGGAATTACGGATTGGGTATTCCTTCTTCCACTTCTGATCCTTATCCAAGGGGTGTGGCGAAGGATGTGCTGGCCTCACTCGACATGAGTGATTGGTAATGGAGACAGAAAATATTGGACCCTGCCCGGACTCGAAAAGGCGATCAGTACCTTAGTTTAATACCACACACAATCGCAGCACTCTGGGCATGGCTGGTCTTGCAGCTGGAGGTGCGGTACTGTGGGTGCGCCTTTCACCAGAGCCGGGCCATATGCTCCGTGACGCGTCTTGATGGCATTGTTGCTGATCGATGCCAACTCGGCGATAGGTTTCCATCTCCTTGAAGCTTTCGATGCTTCAACGGGGCAAGGCAATGCAGGCAACCTTGGGGCTAGCCTCCTCGCCTCTTTAGAAGGTTCTGCATTCATGGGGAATCAGACTGTTGGGCCAGTTGTGAGGGCTGAGCTGATAACGCTCAGCTCTTTGCGGCGATTGGCAGCTGCTGAAGATCATGGTTGATGCCTCAGCACTGACATCACGGAGGTGTGCCTGTCTTCGAATGAGGCACCCACCTTTGGATGCTGCAGGCTGAGGGGTGACCGAGCTCTTCAGAAATCAGCAGAGCGGGCGCTTTAGGTGCCGGAAGAAGCGAGCAAGCCCATAATCCTAATGCCCCGATCCTGTTTCCGCAAACTAACTGGCCCTGTGGCTGCGCTGCATGCTCTGTGCAACGGAGGTGAGGGACTGTGGAGAGCTACTGAGGGGCACTGTGCTGGATGCAGCGATGCTCAGCATTTAGCTTGCTGCAGGCGGGGTTGCGGTTAGAGTTTCCAGACCACCAACTCCACTGCAGCCCACCATTCTCGCTGGGTTGAGTAGGCAAGGTATGTACCTATTAAGGTACCTATGTATGACAACCTCCACACAATTGCCCTTTCGTACATTGGCTCCAATAGTACCGGCCGCTACATGAGGCCCAGGTTGCCCGCAAGTACCTCGAGCTGCCCTCTTCTCGCTTCGCAGCTACCTGGTCGGTACCTTCAGTCTAGTGCTTGCGTGGAAGGTGCGGTAGGCGCTACTGCGTCTGTTGCGCCCAGCTCTCATGTGCAAGTAGACTGAGACTAGTGAGATCGGAAACATGGCCTTTATCGGAGACTGAACAAGATTCCCATCCAGCTCGATATTGATCTGATCGCTACTTAGCTGGTGCCTGTCCCTCCTGTGTGTTGGTTCGATTGAGCTCGACTTCATTGATTTACCAAACCCATCGCCGAGACCTGCCTTCTTCTGTTAGCCCTTCCTAGAAACTTGGCGCTAATCACTTGCCAGCCAGTTTCGCCCAACTTTGTCTTGCTTTGTCGCTACTGCGACTGAAGCTTTTTCGACCTGCAGGTCAAGTGGCCTAGACCCAATACAGGCCCTCCCAGCACAACAGAGTTCAACAGTAACAACGACACTACCTCCGAGGCTTGGTCCATTCCAGCAGGGAGCAGGTCACATCGAAGCGACCGGAGCTCAATTCGCTGGGAGCGCCCACTCAGGATTACCTCCTCGACTAACACAAAGCCTTGTGATTTTTGATTTTAAAGGCCAAGGCTCAGCGAAAACCTAGGCCAAGGTTCAATTTCAAATTTCTACCTGCTGACCGGAACATTGCGCTCGCACACACTCTGCTCTGCACCTATCAGCTGGCTGTTTCACCTGTATTGTCTTCTGGACCTGCCATCCCTTCATAGTGTCGCACTCACGCTTCGCCATATTCGCCTCTCTTCCCCGTCGCGTCCCTCTGCAAGTTTGGATGCAATAGAGTGGGGCGCCACCCGAGACCAGATTCTCATGGTAATAACGAATCCCGATACATCCGCTGAGACAGCCATCCCCTCACGAGCCCAAGGACGGCAAAGGACGGGACACCCGAGCTTCAAGTGGCGACTGTTGTTAAGGAAGAACCTGCCCCGCAATTCCTGCATCGGTCTAAAGCTGGTGACACTCCCAGCTCAAGGTACCAGGGCATTGCACAGCTCGAACCTCTTTCACATCCGGTTGTATCTTTCTCTTTTCCCTTACTTCCAAACATATTCGAACCACAGCAAAATCAATCGAAACACTCAATCCAATATCGCACCATGTCTGTGTTGACCGGCTCAACTTCAGCGGATGCCGCTGGCAAGTTCGTGGATACCGACGTGGATATAGCTCTGGCTTGCACTGATGAGTTCTTGGATCTCTCCCCAACTGCCGACCGTATGATGGTGGATCCCCGCCTGGCAATGCAGTTCCATGCCAGCATCAGCGACAAGCCCCCCGAGCCCACCTTCGCTATTTCTCCTTCCATCTGGGATCAGCAACTTGATAATTCGACACCATTGTTTTGCCAGCCAAAGAATGGAGCTGACTCGATGGAAATCAACGATGATATCGATCTGGTGGCAATCACCTCCTCATCCAACTCCCATGACTCAATTGCAACAAGAAAGTCATCCCGTACCTCAAGCAATTCGTCACTCCCGTCGCTTGTTTCTTCTGCCTCTTCCCATAACTCGCAACCCAAGAAGCGAACCCGTAAGCCTTCTCGAAAGAAGCAGCAGGCGTTCTCAAAGCAAGAGCAAAAATCGGGCGACAAGGAAGAGGACTTCAAGCGAAATAAGTACCTTGAACGAAATCGACTTGCCGCATCCAAGTGTCGTCAGAAGAAGAAGGAATGGATGCACGAGCTCGAGGAAACCAAGGGGATACTGGAGTCGAAGCATAGTGATCTACACCGAGAATACAGTGCGTTGTTGCAGGAGGTCAGCCAAATAAAGACGTTCTTGATGGCACACTCGAATTGCCATGATCCAAACATTGATCAGTGGATTGAAGGCGAGGCTAGGCGATTCGTCAGAAAGTCCATAGATGGATCCTTCAATGGCTTGGGTCACCGCCCATCCATTACTCCATCGTTGCCCGCATCCGAGAGTCGCCAAAGCCCTATAGGTAAGTAGCAGCACTCCCGTAGTTCCTCGCCTATTGCAATGGTACTAATTTCACAAGTTCCAGCTAACCATTACTCACCAACGGCATCATCACCTGGCGCTGTACGATTCCCGCTGGCAGCTATCAAACGGGAAGATATCAACTTCGATCACATGCCTGATGACATGTTTCAGTGATCTGTACATCGATCCGTGCCCATGAGCCACCAACTCGGGGCCCAAAAAAATAGAAAAAATACTGGAGTGAGAGATCCAACACTCTGCCTTGGGATGGTTCAGCTCAATTTGAGGTTTTCTGGCACTGCGGCGTTATCTGGTGGTTTGGAGGTATTGTGTCCTGTATTTGATGATGATACCAAAGATGACTCCGCGAATAGGGCCCTGCTAGAATCCAGGGTGAAAGTTTAATGCATGACAAGGAGGCTGTTTGCTGCCTCCCAAGGGTTGGGATTTGTCATGGGGCGAAAAGGAATGATTCGGAGCTTGCGAGCCCGTGATGACTTGATGAACTAGGATTCACGACATGAGAACACTTTCACTGGTTATGTGCAGCAGTATTAGTGGGTTAGTGGAGTGAGGAAATAATATTAATTTGGATTTATTCCAAATCTGCTGGCCTGAGATCGAGAGAATGGTGTTTTGACTGGCAATGCCACAAGAGCGTAGATTGTGGATGAGAAAAAAGGAGTGTCCGGGGGTATGGATCTGGTTATTAATGGTGCTGGGACCCGCCTCATTACATGGCTCTTACCAAAAACTGACGTCTTGCATTGGTCTTCCAGCGGCGTTGGGTAAATCCCACAAGAGCAGTGTGTCAACAAAAAGTATGACTAGAGACAAGCCTGAGTCAGTCAATGCCCATCTCGAACTTAAGGCGAGTGAAAAGACAATCTCGTGTTCATTGTTGCGGCAGAGTGAGTTTGCATACACGATTGCCGATCACACCCGCTTGCCGCCCAACAACCAAATGCCGGAAACTGTGGCGGGTGATGTGCTAGTTCCTTTGGGATTAAGCCTAAAAAGTTTGAGATACTTATTGAAAACTGGCGGGAAATGGTCATATACATATAGAAAAAGCGAGGAAAAGGGGACTGTGAATTTGATTTATTGTTTAGTGTATGATGTGTATACATGGCTAATCCTACATTGTACATCATCCTCTGACCCGGTATAGATAGATACAACACGACCACCGGGATGTTTAATGACAATAATATTACACCGTCGGAGGCGGCACGAGCGTGACGCTGCCCTGCTGTCGCTTCTTCGATTTTCACCACCCTCCCCCCCTGGCTTTCCTCTACTTCCTCTTGGTCCAGCCGCGGGCGTTGGACAGGCCGCGGATGCGCTTCGTGTACTTCCAGAGTTGGCGGTACTTGGGGCCCTGGCGCTTGGCCTCCCAGCCCCTGAGCTTGACGGGGCCCTTGAGGGAGTGGACGCGGGCTGTGCGGAGCTCGATGTCGGCGCCGGGGAGGCCGTGGCGGGCCATGACGGCGGCGGTGTTCTCATCCCAGACGGAGCGGAACATGTTAAAGCCAAAGGGGCGGACGCGGAACTTGCTCTGGAAGGACTTGAGCGAGAACTTGTCCCGGCTGGCGTAGAGCTCCTTGACCTTGGCGACGTCGACCCGCTCGCCCGGCAGCTGCTCGAGGAGGAAGATGGCCATGCGGTGGTAGGGGGAGCCCTTCTGGGCGACGGCCGGCAGCCAAGGGAGGGCGAGCTGGTCGTCGCCCTTGATCTTGGAGAGGGGTAGGGAGGTGTCCGTGGGGCTCAGGGGGATGTTGGCGGCGATGTAGTGGCACCTCTTGAAGAAGGCGTCGTTCTCGACGTCGGGGACGTCGGGGTCGACTACGACGACGGTGACGAGGCGCTCGCCCGGGTTGAAGAGCTGTACTCGGAGTCTGGGAGGGTTCTCGCTCACAATGGAGTCGACGATCTCGCCGGGAGCGACCTTGGCCTTGCGGAAGTAGAGCTGGACGTCGGCCGTGGGCACCAGCTTGGGTATAATATCTGGCACGATGTGAAATTGTGAGATACGCTGGGTGATGAGCCTCTGATCGTAGGAACGCCACTTCTTCTCGGCGTAGTATCGGTAGATGGGCTTGTTCATGTCGCCTGTTTGCATCTCAAATCAGTAACTGAGGTTGCACCGATAGATACGTCCGTTCTTTAGAGGAACTTACCAAGTCCGTCCTCGAACCTCTTCTTGACGATTGGGTCATTAACATCAGCCTTGATCTTGAGTTCCTCGACATATTTCCTCAAACTGGCGAGCCTCGTAGCCTTCATCTTGGGACCACCTCTAAACTGGGAATCTTCGACAGCCTCGACGCGGGCAATCTTCTCCACCTCCTCCTTGATCTTGGCTACTTTCTGTTCGCGATCGGCGGCGAGAATTTTGCGGGCTTCTTGGAAAGCTTGGTACGGAAGTTGCTCAAATGGGAGGCTGTTGGGGTTCGAGCGGAGCGCTACTCGGCGACGGCGGGAGCCGACGGGCATCTTGCCGGCCTTGATGAGAGCATCTTCGAACTCGGGTAGGACGGTATTCGGATCCAGGTCGAGCGGGGTGGGTTCGGCGACGGGCGCTGCGCTGGCGGCAGCATTCAGCTGGCTCGAGGTGGTGTTGAAAGATCTGATGGCGAGGCATTGCTGCACTGATCGCTGCTGCAGCTGCCTGGCGAGCGGTCTTGCGACCGATTGGCACCGCGACATCGTCGATGGATTTTTTCTGTGACTTCCCCGGATCCAATGGCCCTGTCGAGGCGTTCCAATGGAGGCTGAGGATGGGTTCGCTCGTCGTGTCCTGGCTTTTACTCCAAGTTGAGGCAGCTCGAAAAAGTTCGGTACAGGTGATGGGCCCACAATTATTTCTCCAGATCCACCATTTGCCAATCGGATTCTTACTGGCTGCACGGTTTTTGATATCGAGCCAAACCGCCAAATCAATCTCCAACAACGGCTATCAATCCAACGTTCGGCATCCAGCAACCACATACGCAATTACCCTCGACGACCGGCTTCTGTTTTCGGACCTTTGGGAACAATGGCTGGACGGGGAGTTGGATGTCTCTCAGAGGCAATGGGGTCCCTGAGGCTGTCTGCCGCCAAGGTTTGTCATGCCCAAATTCATCAACATCAGAGCTCAGAAACTGACATCAATTCTCGCAAATAGCCCTCAACAGTCGCCAGGACATTTGTCCGATCAATGGCCACTGAGGCTTCCGACACTAGCATTACCAAAACCGCCAGCGACAAGTCTGCATTAATCCAGTCATGGAACCCAGGTACGACTACTCGAAGCCTCGCGCCCGCAACATTGGGAATCTCTTTTGACTGACAAAAATTCACCCTCGATTAGTGTCCACCGTTCCTCTCACCATCCACAACTTCCCCTCATTCGAGCCCACATCCCTCGAGAAATGGTCCGTCGACCACCTCTATCTTCCCCTCCGCCGCGATATTCTCCACTTGGCAGTAGTCTTCGAGGGCGACAACACCCGGTCCGGTACCGCCAGCTCCAAGACTCGCTGGGACGTCCACGGCTCCCACCGCAAGGTCCGCCCTCAGAAGGGTACTGGTCGTGCCCGCCTCGGCTCCAAGCAGAACCCCCTGCTCCGCGGCGGTGGTAAGACCTTTGGCCCCCACCCCCGCGACTTCGGCACCAACCTCAACCGCAAGGTCTACGACAAGGCCTGGCGCACCGCGCTGAGCTACCGCTACCGGCGGGGGGAGCTCATCGTCTGCGAGGATGGCATGGAGCTGACCATGCCCCGGGGCTTCGAGAAGGCCCACAAGAAGGACCTGCGCTGGGGCCTGCGCGAGGCGTACCAGGCCCGGTACATGAAGAGCGTCTTGGATACGTTGGGCCTGGGCAAGGCGGACGGGCGCACACTCTTCGTCACTGGCGACCGCAGGGAGCAGTTGTACTCCGCCATGGAGCAGGTCCCCTGGGAGGGGCGGGCGCTGGACTTGGAGGATGTGGATATCAAGGATCTTTTGGAGACCGGCAAGGTGGTCATGGAGCGTAGTGTGCTTAAGGAGATGATTGAGCGCCACCAGAGCGATCTGGTGGCCAATGTTGTTGTCGGTGGGCTCAAGGGTTCTGGTATCACGACTGGCCAGAAGGTGTTTTAAAAGGAGAACGGCATCTGCGCTCGGGTGGCTGCTGGGCATCGATAATCTTGTATTATGTATCAACTTATATATGTACAACTGTTAACAAGCAAACTGGAATGAATCATGTTCATTTTGAATTACCAATATTCTGGTATTTTGCCTGTATTTATTATTGCTATGGACTGGGTATCTCCTTGAGTCTAAGTGTCTAATCAAACATTGTGCGGCTCACCCTGTTCGCCGTTTTTGTATCCAGGTTTACACATCTTTGCCGAGGTGCCTCACAGGGCACCTCCCACAGCTTGCACGATCCACATGGCGATCCTGACGTGCAGACCAACTCTTCTCTCGTTCTTCGTGAAGTCGTCCTGCGTGACAGGCTTGGCGTACTGCTGGAGCCAAGCCTGCTCGTTGCCAAGCTTCTCTTTCAGGGCCTGATCGCGGGTGACGATGAGAGCACCCACCTCGAGATCAAGGGAATAGCTGCGCTTTGTGTAATTGGAGCTGCCGATGATGGACATCGATGGGTGCTCGTCGCCGGGGAGCGTGACCCAGAGGCCCTTGGCGTGGTAGGACCAACCCTCGGGCTGCCCCACGGTGCCGCGCCGCCATTCCTGGAGAGTGATCTGGTCATCGCGTCCATATGTGTGGATGGCGCTGAGGAAACGACGAGCCAGGAGTGTATATGCCCCCGGTAGAAGTCCCGAGACGCCGGGCGACTTGTAGAAGCCATTGGCTTCTGGGGCTGCGGTGATGACGGTGTTGGGGCGGGCGGAGGAGGAGGAGGCGGTGGTGAGAAGGAGTTTGGTCAGCGAGGGGGCAGGATTGAAGTAGCCCGCGGTGAATGTCCAAGATGAGGATTTGTACTCTGGTAGCGCAAGAGTTTTAAGGATGTGGGTGATGGCAGGGAGCTCGGTTGAGGTGTCGGGCTTCATGACCTGGGACATTTGGGCGAGCATGTACACGCGGGTATTGTCAAACTCTGTAATTGCTGGCTTGGTAGATGAGCTCTGGGATATCAAGGGTAGCAGGGTTGACGTGGTGCTTTTGACGAATGCTTTGGGCTGCTCCAGGGGCGAGGGCGCCGAGTTGGTCTGCGGCCAGGACAAGGCGAAGCCGGAGGGGTCGTCAGAAGGCTGGGCCAGGAAACTGAACGATCCGACAGCCTCGTGTATGTTCCAGAAATGATTCGTGACCTCTGTGGATGAGAAGAGGTGGTATCTATCCTGACGATTGGTAAAGTAGTCTGATGAGAGATTCGCTCTTCACCCCTCGTTAGCCTTGCTCTGTGAACTCATCTTGGTTTATTCCTTACCCAGACATGATGATTTCGTCATCAATACCATAGAGTTTCATGTGCTGAAGACCCCAGCCCTCATTGATCCTCTTGGGAACTGACTTCTTTCTCAACCCCGTCAGATTTGGAGTATGGTACAAGCGCACCTCAACCCTGTCGGCGCCAAACTCAGCAACTAAGGGCACAAGCAGTGAAGCACAGGTCGGCGCAGGAGCCTCTCGGGTACCCCTCAGCGCATCAGTGAGAATGCTCAACTTGAGCTCAGGGTTCTGCTTCATCGCATCACGGAGAGTCTCAAGAAGCTCTCGCTCCGATTTTCCAATGTACAGCGTTGAAAGAAAGATGCGTTGCTTGGCATTGCGGATACGGTCCTTGAGCGTTTCATAAAACTTGGTAGGAGTCTGAATGACCTCGATTTGATCACCGCGGAGGTCAAAACTCGGGGCGATGCGATCCAATTCACTGACAAATGGTGCCAGCACGCCAATGGCACTGCTGCCGCTGGTACCCGACGTCGGGGCAGCATGGGCAGCACCAGTGCTGCCAAAGCGCCGGCATTGTAATCGAGGAGCTCCTTTGGGCAAGGATGGCTGAGAAAATGGTCTTGGGCGAGCCTTGCCCGTGCAGCGCAGACAGTTCCGGACGATCATTTCAGATTATAGCCGAAGGGAAAGCCTTCGACAGGTTGCAATTGATTTATTCGCAAATCAATCTTGACCTGAGTCGTAACTCATACACAAATATCAAGACCTGGCACCCACCCTGGATGTTATCGATAAAGCTCCAGCTCTGCGGGAAAACTGGCCGGGTCAAAGCTTTTCCCGGTCCGATTACCGACGACGGCGGCCCTCTCACAACGTCAATCCATCTCTTCCCTCGAAGGAGGCCAATCGCGGCGAGGCCAATTGTAACGCAATACCGCAGCCATGTCGACCATCACGCGAACACTCCGTAACCTGACCAAGGTCGGCATCAAGGTTCGTACACGTCCCAAGCTGATCAATTGACCGGAAATCACTGACATTTCGTGCGCAACAGGACTACCTGGTCCAGATGTGGGTATGTAACCGAACCGTCCACCCGGCCATCTAACCACCTGCGCTTTCTCCGGATGGAGGCCGCGGCTGCTCATGAACCGAACGAAGAGGGAAGAAATGAAGGGAAACGAAACTAAGATGGGATATTTAGTACATCGGTGACACCAAGCACGGTCGTCTCGTTGGCACCGATCGCGCCGGCAACAAGTTCTTCGAGAACAACGAGGAACTTCCCCTCCGCACCCGCTGGGTCCAGTACGCCAAGCACGACTTCGACGCCGCCCAGATCGAGCCCGGCTGGCACGCCTGGATCAGCTACCTCCTCGATGCTCCGCCCACCGAGGATGCTCTCATCAAGACCGGCACACGACACTTCGAGCCTACCAAGGCTGTGCCCAACTATACCCAGACGAGGGGCGCTTTCAAAACATACAACACGTGAGTTTCCCTCTTTTTTTTTAAGCGAAAGGGGGCGTGGTTTCCAATTGGGATCGTTCGTTTAGGTCGGGATATTGGAATGCTAACCTGCGATGATAGTGTCAAGCCCAAGATTGCGGCATGGGAGCCCGTAGCTGCACCACGATCTTAAGGAGGGATTTATAGAGGGATGAATGGGCCAAAATGGGAAGCCTGTGTACATAAGCGAGGGTAACATGGCATAACTTTCTTTCTTATCTTATTTGTGTGATTGACCAGTCCCTGAACAACTTATGATTGATTGACTATGATCTTTCGCCAACCAAACTAACTGCGGAATGAACTATCCTAATGGAATGGTAAGTCTGAAAAAATCTTTTTTTTTTCTCTCTTTCTTTTCTTTCTTTCTTAAAAAACAAGGGTGTAGATTCTTGTCTAATGCAATGAGTCCGTCCACGATTGTGTATCAGAAGCCAAAAAAAACATGCACTACCCAAGACCATACGGTCATATATACAGCTTTAAATCTTTCCCTTCACTGATGCTTCGATGGCTAGATATCATAGTTAGCATGGGGCCGTGATAAATACGTAGGGGTTGAAACATACCTTCACAAGAAACCTTGGCATCTCCGAAAAGCATCTTGGTATTCGGCATATAAAACATCGGGTTCGGGACATCCGCTGTTAAGTCAGGTCAGTCTTGAGATTCAAAATTGAATCGAAAGATTATTCCGCGCAACGTACCGTATCCGCTTGCCATGCCACGCTTCATCACAACAACTTGCTTCGCCTTCCATGCGTGCAGCACTGGCATTCCTTCAATGGAACTTCCCTTCTCCATGGCGATGGGGTTGACAGTATCGTTCGCACCGATGACGACAGCCAGGTCGGTGTCGGAAAAGTCATCGTTGATCTCGTCCATTTCGAGAACGATGTCGTACGGCACACTGGCCTCGGCAAGCAGCACGTTGCATTGTCCGGGCATTCGGCCTGCCACCGGGTGGATGGCGAACCGGACGGTGATGCCCTTCGATCGCAGTATTTCTACAATGTTGGAGATTGCGTACTGGGCCTTGGCGACGGCCATGCCATATCCAACGATGAAAATGACCGACTCCGAATTGAGCAAGGCATCGGCCAAGTCATCGACAGACGTGGTTGTTACTTCACCTTGTGGCTTGTACTCTTGGACCCCCGTCGGAGCAGATATACCTCCGAAGAGAACGTTGGTTAATGAACGATTCATCGCCACACACATGATGTATGAGAGAATAGAACCCGAGACTCCGATAAGTGCACCAACGGACGTCAGTAATGGGTTGTCAAGCATGAACCCCTCCGCCACGAGAGCGAAGCCGCTATACGCGTTGAGAACAGTGATGACAACAGCTGGAGGGCTTGTTAGCGATGAACATGGGGTTCTCCGTTTCAAGCGACGACTTACGCATATCGGCGCCACCGATGGCAGCCGTGGTGGTGTATCCTTTGGTGAAGCTCAGCAGAGCATTTGCCGCCAGGGCTCCGGCAGCAATCATCGGGCTCCCTGGGGCCATTGTGATAAATGCACCCATAGTAGCGGCGTTGGCTGTGACCAGGCCCGTGTTCAGAACGTGACGTCCGGGGATGATGGTGGGCTTCGACGAGACACGGCCAGCGAGCTTGAGGAAAGCAACGATTGATCCAGTGAACGTAATGCCACCTGGAATTCGTTAGCGGCGGAGACTGGTGATTCAATTATTTGTTAGGACGAAGACATACCAATGAGAACACCCAGGTAAGCGGTCACCATGTGCAGGGTGGTGACGTCGTCAATATGGCCCATGACGCTGCCGATACTGGTGAGAACAGCAGCGAGACCGACTACGGAGTGTAATGCAGCAACTGTCTGTGGTAAATCGGTAGGCGTGATGCGCTTGCCAATGAGGAATCCTTTTCGGCACAGCTGTTGTTAGCAATGGAGCCAAGAAAGATAGTACGAGAGAGGGGCATGGAGGATATTTGCTTACCAGCTAGAGCTCCGATGGTCGCGAGCGTACCAAACTGCGTCAAGACTTCGGGGGAAAATCCGGCGGCAAGGAGACTGGCAAGAACACCGGTTCCAACACCGAGCATGCCCAGCATGTTCCCGAGCCTTGCAGTTGCCTGTGATGCAAGTCCGGAGATGGATGACATACAGAGAATTGTGCTGGCAAGATAGCCGGCTTGAACAAGACCTTCGGATCCAGTACTGGCTGCGGCGAGGAAGCCGCCACCAAAGACAACAGCTGGGATGGTGTACAGCCAGGGATACTCGGGAGGATCAGTAGGTCCTATATTGTATCAGCAACTTATTCGAAGACAAAGTTCAACTGGAAAATACTTACTCTTGAACATGTCGAGCATACGCTTCGTCACGACAAAGCCACCGCCCACGTTAACAAAAGCGAGGAGAACACTGAGGGCACCGAAGGTTTGCGGAATTGTCGCTGGCACGTAGCCACCACCTAGGATGAACAGACCTCCGAGACCAACCATACCTGAGATGGCGTTGGTGACACTCATAAGAGGTGAGTGAAGGGCGGGGGCTACACCCCATACAACACGGTAACCGATCAGACTGGCAAGACCAAAGGTGAAGGCATTGCTCATGAATAGAGGGCTGGTGAGCTTTCCGAGACCCACAACACCACCAAGACCAGCACTAAGAGCTGCGACCTCGCGTGTAGTCTTCTCCCAAGGTGTAAGCTCCTTGACCTCGACGGTAGCTTCGGGCGTGGCAGGTTTGGCGGGAGCAGGAGGGGGTGCGGGGCGCGGTGCGGGAGGCAGAACCTCACCATCCTGGGAGACAATGGCACCTCGAACAACCTCGTCAGACAAGTCGATTCCGAACTCCTTATCCTTGGGTGTCATCGAAAGCAGGAACTTGGTGATGTTGTTGGAGTACAAAGTAGACGACTGAGTGGGGAGGCGAGATGGGAGGTCAGTGTAGCCTGGTAGATACGTCAGTTCCTGTCCGTATAAGTGCGATTCCTTTCCAAATTCGACTTACCGATAATCTTGACACCATTGTATGTCGCGAGCTGGCCCGGGACGGTAGCTTCGCAATTTCCGCCAGCTTCAGCCGCCAGGTCCACAACAACACTTCCGGGCTTCATCACATCGAGTGCTTCCTTCTTGATCAGCTTTGGCGCAGGCTTTCCAGGGATAAGAGCTGTGGTAATGATGATATCGACGTCCTTGGCCTGTTCCTTGAACAGCTTCATTTCCGCCGCGATAAATTCCTTGCTCATTTCCTTAGCGTAGCCTCCGGCACCGGAACCGTCTTCCTCTATCTCGACCTCGACGAATTCAGCGCCCAGAGACTGGACCTGTTCTCGGGTGGCGGGACGAGTGTCGAATCCACGGACGACGGCACCCATGCGGCGCGCAGTGGCAATGGCACTCAGACCGGCCACACCAGCGCCAATGACGAGGATCTTGCAGGGGGGGATCTTGCCAGCAGCAGTAACCTGACCAGTGAGGAAGCGACCGAAGTTGTTCGAGGCCTCAAGCACGGCCTTATAACCGGCAATATTGGCCATACTGCTGAGAGCGTCGAAAACCTGGGCACGGGAAATACGGGGGATCATGTCCATGGCAAAGCTGGTGGCGCCCTTCTTTGCGATGGCGTCGACCAAATCCTTGTTCTGGGCTGGCTGGAGGAACGAGATAACGGTTTGCTTCTTCTTCATGAGCTCGACCTCGTCGAGGGAGGGACTGCGGACCTTGAGGACGATGTGGGCATCGGACCAGACTGCCTGGGCGCTGTCGACTAGAGTAGCTCCGGCAGCCTTGTAGGCGTCGTCCAGGAAATCGGCGTGGGACCCGGCGCCGCGCTGGACCAGGACCTTGCCGTATCCCTTCTTGAGAAGCAGCGCAACGTTCGCGGGGGTCAGCGCAACACGTCGCTCGCCCTCGAAGATCTCGGTAGGCACTCCGACGGTAAGATTGGCAAAGGGGACAGTGGGGGGGACAACGGTGGCGGTGGTAGAGTACTGGTTCAGGTCTGGCCTGGCGGCCGTGGGTGTCCAGCATTCATGGCGAACAAGAGCCAATGATCTCGCGGAAGCTGCAACCAGAGCTCTTGGAGCTGGCTTGCTAATCGAATTGAAGCATTGCCGTCGGTTCGAAGCTTGCCAGTGCTTCGTTTCTAGAGCTCAGCTCCAAGTCAGAGCTGATCTCTTGGTGGGGTCGCCCATCTTTTCGCTGGGGGCTCCATGGGAGGAAGAACTGGTACTTACCACTCAAAGAGGTGCATACGAGCCGAGCCGAGGAGCAGGAGGGGAGACGGGCAACATCAGACGCCAAAAGGCGCATCGGAATCAACGCCATTGCAGTGGGAGCGCACTCATGAGCGCGTGTTGTCGCGAAGTTGGCTGTGGCGTGGATGCCGATATCGGGGCAGATGTCTCGCAGGACAGGGCTGAGCAAGCGGCAGCAGCAGACCTCCCACACACAGCGACGACACGAAGCCACAAACGACTAAAATGCGCCAAACAAACCAGAATGTGGTGTTGAGGGAAAGAGGAAGAAGGGAAGAGGGGAAAAGAGGCAGCCGTAGCCGAAGGAGGCCGAGCCCTACACTACGCTAGGGGGATGGGAGGTGGGAGGGCGAGCGGGGAGTCTGATGTCAAGGGAGCAGCAGCAGGCGAGTGTGACTGATCTGATGCTTGATTAGTCTGGCTGTCCTCGGCCCATTATGGACTGTTTACATGGGTCTCGGTCCTGTTTCTGCACCATGTACGCATATTGCTCTCCTCCACCGAGTGACTGACCGACTCGAGGATGGTTCCATGCCAGGCCATTTGGATTTCAAGTTCCTGGCTGGCTTGGACCCGGCCAGTTGCGGATATGATCCAAGAGAGCACAGCGCACGACAAACCGCGTCTTAGTGCCTCGAGTCATCGTTTACAGTGGACGACCCACCAAGAGCTCAGGGCTGCTAGCGGGCAACGATCGTCGTGGGGCGATGGGCGGCACTGGCGGCGCTAAAATCTGGGGGAGGAGCCACGATGAGTGTTTCGATGATCCTTCATCCTCCTCTGCCACCTCCACCCGCCCCGGATTGTTTACTTTATCGATTTGTTCTGCGATAGTTGGAGTGTAGCGCAATCTAGTGAAGCATCGGCCAGACGAGCCAATATCCCGACATGGCGCTCCCTCCGAATCGTATCATTCATACGTTGAGCGAAACGGCACCTGCATATCCCCGAGCTGTCCGTGGCCAGTGGAGAGCGTTACGTTAATAATGGGTGCTGTGATGCGGGGAAGAGGCTCTTCACTGGATGGAACAATCCAACAGAGCACATCGATGCCAGTTTATATTGCGCCAAGAGGCGTCGTAGGCAGCACGGCGGGGTAGCCATGTAACCTCAACCATCCTTTCTGTCATCCCCTCCCTGGAGCCATATGTACCGAAGAGCTTTGGCTGGGGGCACCATTGCCAAGCCAACCATGAGCGTTGCATTGCGTTGAGGCCTGGGCATTCGTGATTTCTGCCATTTTGGAGGACGTGGATGACCCCCATCGATGGCGTCATTGGATCTCAACTGTGCCTGACTTGGGGAATTCTAACTTTTATGTATGACACTGTATAAACTGGAACCAGGGTGAACTAGGAGCATGTACCTGGGTTTAATGCGCGAGCGCCAAAAGCACACGCGATGGAAAAAGGTCGCTTGATGTGAACTTACCAATCAAGGAGTCTGACATGGGCCAAGACCGGTGAAAGATATCTATTCATCCAGCTGGATTCGTGGATTGTCCTATTCTGGTGTAGAAACGATCTTCATGAGGCGAGCTTGGGCTGGCTTTGCTCTAATAGAAATTTATTGCTCTCCCTAGCGCCCTGGCTTATTTTTTTTTTATCCATTTCCCGCTTATTGTACTCCTTTTAATTCCCCTCTTCGACATGTCCATCTGCGGGCTGTGGTACTCATAGTTTCTCCTTCACGTTAGGCAGCGCACAAGATTAGGAAATAAAATCTACTCATGGTCAAGGACTATCAATTAACTCTTAAATGAGATTCTAGAGAATGAAAACTCATTTATCTCTTTTTGGCACAAGCTGAAATGGTCAAAATGTTGCTCGCTGGAACCAGACAGCGCAAGCAGGATTGGGAGTGCTTACGGTGATTGAGCTTGCTCACCCATTATCCTTGCATCACGTCAACAGCCTGCGGACCTGAATAGTTCATGAAGTTGTAAACAGGGGATGATTCGGCCTGAATATAACCCCGTGAATAGTACTTTTAACTGGTTCAAGTCTACTGTGTTCAGTAAAAGTCTCCGTGCGGACTCCGCCGCGGAGTTTCAACCACTCGGGATCCTTCATCAGCGAACGAGACGCACCAGCCGTGCCAGATAAATTATCGTCAACCAGCCAGTTTGTGATGATGAAAAATTATAATTCTACTTTTCTACTTATATATTAGTAACTTAAGGAGATGGCTCACTCGTCGCCCTCCAGTGATCTCCCTAATACTATGAAAGTATGGCGGTTTCACAGCGCCGCAGGCGGTGCGGAGAAGAACATGCGCCTCGAAACCATGGAAATTCCCGACCCAAAGCCAACAAAATCGACTCTAGTCAAGATGGTCGTTGCTGGTCTCAATCCCATTGATATCAAAGCCTCGGAACTACCAATCCTAGGCCCTTTCATCCATCGCCTCCCAGCCACTCCTGGCTGTGACGGCGTCGGGCGTGTCATAGAAACCTACGAGCCATCTCTCAAGAAAGGGATGATGGTGCGATTTCGGAAGCAGGAAATGCAACAGGACGGCGTATTCGCGGAATACGTCTTGCTCTCGCCGGGACAATGTGCCGCCATTCCAGATGGTGTGTCTACGACGCAGGCTGTTACCGTTGGGACCTGTGGCGTCACGGGGTACCAGGCGCTCGCCCCATACATGCTCGACCAAGATGGGCAACCGAAAAAGCATGAGCACACGCCTCGGGTATTCATTAACGGTGGCTCCGGCGGAGCAGGTGTGTTCCAGATTCAGCTGGCGAAGATCTTTGGGTGCCATGTCGTCACGACCTGTTCTGCCTCAAATATAGAACTCTGCAAGAGCCTCGGAGCCGACGAGGTGATCGACTACCGCAAGGAGCCTACAGAGGAGTTACTGAAGTGGATGGTGCTGGAGGATAGCTCTAAGGCATTTGACCTCGTCGTGGACAACTGTTCCAACCCATGGCCTTTGTTCAAAGCGGGAGACGTATACTTGCGAAGCGAAGGGACATATGTACAGATTGGTGCCGACTTCTCGGCCGACGCCGCCAGGCATTGGTTTAACATCAAGCTTCGACCAGGATTCTTGGGCGGTGCTCGCTCAAAGTGGGCATTTATGGCCATGAAAACAAGCCGACAAGATTCGGAGCGCATTCTTCAGTGGATGGCTGGAGGAAAGATTCACATACCGATAGATAGCGAATTTTCCTTTGAGCAGGTTCCGGAAGCTTATTCAAAGCTGAAGTCTGGAGCCAAGGGGGGGAAGATTGTTGTCCACTTTTCAGAATAGTCGCCCATACGGAGAGGTGTCGGGGTTAAATGACGACATGGGAGATTCTGCTGCGACCTTCTCGCTCTCGTGCAGATGGAGCTGAAGTTTGAGTGTGGTTCATGTTCACCTTGAGTGTAGCACCCATGCCAAACAGGCTTGATGATCATTGAGGGGGGCAACAAAGTGAATTTGGGTGGCAACAAGACGGATTGGCAGAGGACTCATCACCTCGGACGGTAGAGACCTGGCGAGAGACCTGGCGAGAGAAACAGAGACGTGTGAGGTTGATATTCTTCCGACAAAGGTCAGCAATAGATTGTCTTGGTTGGAAGCTGATGTGCGTCAGAATTGTTTGTGCCAGCCAGACCTTGCCTTATCGAAGCTGGGGTAAACGTCAGCGTGTATGACCAAGACACAACTGCAAAGCACCCACAAGTAGCTGCAGGCCCGGTTCAAATGCCCGATGCGGGGTTTTGGAGGCCGCCTCTCGAGGAATTGACCTGAGCTCTGTGGAGGAGACCATTGCGAAGCTCCTCATTGTAGAGAGGACTTGCACTAAGTACATATTATACATCGGAATTCGCCATATCCTCCTTCTGCTTCCGTCCCAGCATATGAGCTCTCAGCTAGACCCATCGTAGCGCATCGGCAGATGGGGTGAGATAGCAACCTTGCGTTGCACTCCGTTGAACGACCAGGGCAATTGCAAGCCTGGGCTCCTCCTTGCGCGATAAGATATGCATATTCCGGCATTTCAACCTTGAATAAGACCCTGGTCCCGACTGAGGGACGGACCTTAAATCAAAAGATCACTGCCCGAACTGGAAGGTGAGACATCAGGTACGGATGTCCGGCAATTGCTTGGGATGGTGATAAGCTTGAGCTTCCAAACCAGTCGTGTAATAGCTGATCGACCAAGTCATACAAGGCCCATGGGGTTTGCGACTTTATCGCCCGCAAGTAAGCCTATCTGAAATTGGTTCGGAGAGCCGATGTGGCGTCATGCGATCCTTGCCTGGTAGGCACTCGAAGCAGCCGCGGACGCGTCTTACCTGCAGTTAGGTGAGGCTGCGGATTGCTATTTAAGAAGGGATGTCCGCTAGATCCTGTCTACTTTCGTTCCTCTGCAGGCTCCTTGGCAAGTCCTCCCTTGAGAATCAACAAACCCCCGTCGCCTTTTCATCCACCAGAATTCTCGACTCTCCTCCAGCTGGCATACTTTTGTAAACATGAATATGATGAAATGGGCCCTGGGATCAGCATTGCTGGCTCTCCCCCAGCTTGCTACAGCCCAGCCCACCAACCACACCAAGCCGCTGGTCAAGGACGTGAGTGCCTCTTTCCGACCTGATTGAGCCCAATTGATTTGATCTGACACTCCTGAAATATTTGCAGAAGGCTCTCCAAGATGCCATCACGGTCGAGAATCTCTTCAAGCATGCCGAGAAACTCGAGGCTCTTGCGTATTCCACTCCGGGTCGCAACCGGGTCGCCGGGTCAACTGGCCACGACCTGACTGTGGAATACATCTCTGAGCAGCTGAACGCTCTGGGCGGCTACTATGATGTCCAGCTTCAACCATGGGAAGGATACTCGCAGCAGTATGGCGAGATCTCCTTTACTGTCAATGGAGTCGTGTATGAGGCACAGGTTGTCGAGTACTCGTCCAACCTCACCGCAACAGATGTCCCTCTGGCCGTTGTCCCTAATTTTGGATGCGATGTTGTGAGTGAAAGCATTTTTCTTCTTTTGCGCCTACAATGGAATCAGCATATGACTATGGGTTTAAGTCGATAGCTAACGCAATGACAGACC